GCAGCAATTCACGATCTTCCCTTCTCCCTTTCTGTCGTTCTGTTTTTTTTTTCTTGTTTTCTTTTTCTTTTTCCATTTAATTTTTATTTTATTCACTTTTACCTACACCAACCCTTTTAATAGGTTACTAGCATTCAATGGTGTGGATTTAACCCTCATCTCCACTTACTCATCCAATGGCTAATATTTTGGGCGCTTGGATACACCACGCCCATTGTAGAATTTTCCTATAAGTTCAATAGGTGTCACATCCTTTGCACGATTGGAATGCAAATGAGAATTCTTTGTTTGTCAATTGCAAAACTAAAATACAAATGGCATTATCTGTTTGTCAATTGCATTGACAAATCACATAATGTATTTACATTCTCAAAATTAAAAAGGCTGCCAATAACATAAAGAAAACAAATCAATAGTTTTTATAATTATTTATATTTCTCATAACCATGAGTTTAATGAAATAACCTACTAAATACACATAATGGGAATGGATAACTTGTCCATCAAAAGCAATACATTAAAACTAAATGCCAAGTATTTCAGGCAAAAAAATAAAACAAACTAAATGCCAAGTACAAGAAGGAAGAAAAAAAAAAACTGAACGACAATCAAGATCTGAAGCCTAAATAACAACAGTAGAAATAGAGCAAAACAATTGAACTACAATCTACTACACTCCCATCTTCAATTCAGCCCATGCCTTACGTCACCAAGCTCATACAAAATTCCTTTATATTGCTACATCACAACCACGTCATGTTGGCAATTGACAAATAGGCGCTATGTAATTGCCATTCTAATTTGTGAAAGCCAATCGTCTGAATGGTAATGGCCAAACGACCTCTGTCATTTCAATTTTCTTTTCTTCCATGATTTAAGTACCAAAAAGTAAAAACAACAGAATTTTTGTGCTTTTAACCATTCTAATCGCATATATGAAAAACTAAACAAAATGTCGACAACAATTAAACACATCCTACTCCTAATAAACAATCCAAGAAATCGTATTCTTCCCAGGAATTTGTGTATTTCTTATGCAACCACCTTGACATGACACTCACTCAAACTACTATTCACCCAATTCATAACCAAATAAAACACACACCGCCAACTCATAAGCCACAAAATATATGAATCGTCGAATTATTCTGCCTCTGTGACTCCTTGTACTATCAAATGTTTCAAGAAAAAATACAAATGAGAAGAAAACAAAAAAGGGAATCACAGCATAACTTCACAAAAAAATTTGTAGCATTATATGTATCTTGCTAGTGAAGTCCTCACCTTCACGAGTTGAATAAAATGAGATTAGTAAAATGAAGATAGCTACTCCTGCTACAAAATAAGAGGAAATAAATTATATAGCGATATTTTACTATACATTGAACGAACCAGAAAGCAAATCAAAACACTCATGATGAAAAAGGGCTCGCGGGAACCATTGGACAAGGGAAACACAAAGTGCAGATTCATCTCCACGTCTCTATGTTCCCAAACAACTAGCAAGGATAGGACCTCCAACTTTGGGTGATAGCATAAGTCACCAAGACAAAATCAGCCATTTAGCAATTACTAGCATGCTGACTTAATTCTTCAAATATCTATGCAACTAAGCCTACTAGACTGAATCAAATATTTGTGTATTTCCAGTTGATCACGAACATGTTACTTTTTTGACTTTTTTCACTGCAACGTCATTCGTATGCAATCATATTTAAAGAAATGTTAGAACACCCACCAACTACATAGTCTTCAACATCCATACCAAAATTTGAATTGTTCACTGAAAAATCAGAACTAATTCAGATTAGAAACTAAATATATTACTCTACAATTTAGACTAAATTATCTGAAGCACAAAAATAATACATTATAAGAAGTCATAGATCTCATGGGTTGTAATGGACACCAATTTGCTCCATTGTCGTGGAGGACAATAAATGTCTCAATCCTATCTCAAGTTCTAGATCATTATTTTAACATTGAGATCTCAAGTAAACAGAGTACATAAAATTCCAAGTTATCAAACACAATACACACAGTTTACAAAATAGCAATATCTCTTCAAGGTTGAAATG